CATCGTCACCATCATCTTTATCACCATCATCGTCATCATCGGGACAACATCATCATCAGCATCATCGGAACACCACCATCCTCATCACCATCTCATCACCATCATGAACAACATCATCCACATCTTCATCATCGGGACACCATCATCATTATCATCAGCAACAGCATTATCATCAGCATCATCACCATCGGGACACCATCATCGTCGCCACCATCCTCATCATCACCATCATCGTCGTCGTCACCACCATCATCATCACCATTAGCATCACCATCATCATCGGGCCACCATCATCAAAATCAGCATCATCAACTCATCATCATCCTCATCATCAACATCAGCATCGTCATCATCACCGTCATCACCATCATAATCATCATCGGGACACCATCATCGTCACCATCATCATCATCATCATCAACATCATCAGGATCGGGACACCATCATCATCATCGGAATACCACCATTATCATCATCACATCTCATCACCATCATTAACAACATCATCAACATCGTCATCATCATCATCGGGACACCATCATCATGATCATCAGCAACATCATCATCATTAACATCATCACCACCCGCACACCGTCATCATCGTCACCATCATCATCACCACCATCATCATCATCATCGGGACACCATCATCATCATCATCATCATCATCGGGACACCATCATCATCATCAACATCGTCATCATGAACAGCATCGTCATCAACCTCCTCATCATCGGGAAACCATCATCATATGTCTCATCATTATCATCTCATCATCTCATCATCATCATCATCATCATGATCATCAGCATCATTCTCATGATCACCGGGACACCATCATCATCATCATCAGCAACATCAGCATCATCAGCACCATCATCATCGGGACACCATCATCATCACCACCGTGGCCATCATCATCATCATCATCATCAACATCGTCATCATCATCATCACCGGGGCACCATCATCATTATAATCAGCAACATCATCAACATCATCACCATCGGGACACTTTCATCGTCGTCACCATTCTCATCATCACCATTATCATCATCGGGACACCATCGTCATCACCATCAGCATCACCATCATCATCGGGCCACCATCATCAAATTCATCATCATCACCTCATCATCATCCTCATCATCAACATCAGCATCGTCATCATCACCGTCATCACCATCATAATCATCATCGGGACACCATCGTCGTCACCATCATCATCACCATCATTATCATCATCGGGACACCATCAAAATCATCATCATCACCGAATCATCACCCTCAGCATCAACATCATCATCATCGGGACACCATCATCGTCAGCATCATCATCCTCATCAAAGTCATCATCATCGGGACACCATCATCATCACCAACATCGTCATCATCAACAGCATCATCATCAACCTCCTCATCATCGGGAAACCATCAGCATATGTCTCATCATTATCATCTCATCATCTCATCATCATCGACATCACCATGATCATCAGCATCATTCTCATGATCACCGTGACACCATCATCATCACCAGCAACATCAGCATCATCAGCACCATCATCATCGGGACACCATCATCATCACCACCATGGCCATCATCATCATCATCAACATCGTCATCATCATCATCACCGGGACACCATCATCGTTATCATCAGCAACATCATCATCGACATCATCACCATCGGGACACCATCATCGTCGTCACCATTCACATCATCACCATCATCATCATCGGGACACCATCATCATCACCATCAGCATCACCATCATCATCGGGCCACCATCATCAAAATCATCATCATCAACTCATCATCATCCTCATCATCAACATCAGCATCGTCATCATCACCGTCATCACCATCATCATCATCGGGACACCATCATCGTCACCATCATCATCATCATCAACATCATCTGACTCGGGACACCATCAAAATCATCATCATCGGAATACCACCCTAATCATCTTCATCACATCTCATCATCATCACCATGAACAACATCATCATTATGATCATCATCGGGACACCATCATCATCATCAGCAACGCCACCATCATCATCATCAACATCACTATCACCGGCACACCGTCATCATCGTCACCATCATCATCACCACCATAATCATCATCATCGGACACCATCACCATCATCAACATCAGCATTTCCATCATCGGGACACCATCATCAAAATCATCATCATCACCTAATCATCATCCTCAGCATCAACATCATCATCACCAGGACACCATTATCGTCAGCGTCATCATCGTCATCATGAAAATCATCATCGTTGGGACACCATCATCATCATCACCATCATCATCATCATCGGGGCACCATCATTATCACCACCATGGCCATCATCATCATCAAAATCGTCATCATCATCATCATCATCATCATCGGGACACCATCATCATTATCATCAGCAACATAATCATCAACATCATCACGATCGGGACACCATCATCGTCGCCACCATTCTCATCATCACCATCATCATCATCGGGACACCATCATCATCACCATCAGCATCACCATCATCATCCGGCCACCATCATCAAAATTATCACCATCACCTCATCATCATCCTCATCATCAACATCAGCATCGTCATCATCACCGTCATCACCATCATAATCATCATCTGGACATCATCATCGTCACCATCATCATCATCAACATCATCAGAATCGGGCCACCATCATCATCATCATCATCGGAAGACCACCATAATCATCACCATCATCACATCTCATCATCATCATGAACAACATCATCATTATCATCATCATCGGGACACCATCATCATGAGCAACACCGTCATCACCATCATCATCAACATCAGTATCACCGGCACACCGTCATCATCGTCACCATCATCATCACCACCATATTCATCATCTCCGAACACCATCATCATCATCAACATCAGCATCAGCATCACCTGGACACCATCATCAAAATCATCATCATCATCATCACCTAATCATCATCCTCATTATCAACATTATTATCATCATCGGGACACCATCATCGTCAGCATCATCATCATCATGCAAATCATCATCATTGGGACACCATCATCATCATCACCATCACCATCATCATCGGGTTACCATCATCATCACCACCATCATCATCGTCATCATCATCAACATCGTCATGATCATCATTATCGGGACACCATCACTATCACCATCAACATCATCATGATCAACATCATCGCCATCTGGACACCATCATCGTCGTCACCATCCTCATCATCACCATCATCATCACCATCAGCATCACCATTATCATCGGGCCACCATCATCAACATCGTCATCGTCATCGTCATCGTCATCATCATCATCATCGGGACACCAGCGGGACATCGGCGGGACACCGCGCGCCACCGGCCCCCGGACAGGAAACATTTGGTCCGGCCGCGCTTCAGCCAGAGGCGGGACACTTCTCGCCCGCCCACGCAGCTTCGCCTCGCCCGCACTCACGGCACGCACGAACACGAAACCGAAACCGATTTCCCGGTAGGGGGGCTCTCCGTTCCATTTCGATCTCACCCCCTCACCTCCGATTTATATTGCAGCGCAGAGGTTGCATAATATAATATATAATAATAGCTTGCACCTCATAACTTGCATCACATAGCTTGCATCACATAGCCCATGCCACATACACAGCTTGCACCACGTTGCTCCCGCACCATCACTGCAATACTTTAGTGTTTGGGGTCCGCGCGCACACATCCCCTCATTATCGTTATGCGTGCTCCTACTGCTTGGTGCGTATGGCGTTCCAACACTTCAAGACCACGGGCACTTACCACGCAACGGTGGATACTGCATCAAAGCCAACCTGCCAGGGTTGCCACACCACCCACGATGTAGCCGCTTACAGCAAGATACGATACGCCTGGCCAGCCACTCCGGCACGCGGTCACAAACACAAAACGGCGTAAGCCCATTGAGAATATCTACACAAGCACCAGCGCTACACCAAAAAAGAGCGACACATTGTGAACGGCCACGAAGAAAGCCTGGGCCACAAGTTACATCCAGATCGTAGAAGCCACACCGAGAACCCCTTGAAGCCGACTAGACACCAGGGCACACCAGGCCCAAGCGTGAGGGAATGCTTGCCGTCACAGCTTGTCCCTCGAGCAGTCGAGGCGAAGGGAATGCTTGCTACACCAGGACTTGTCCCTCGCCCTATGTTGTATGTACCAGAGCGACACCCCACCAGACAGGCAACTGCAGAATTACCAATCCAGCGGAAATGCGCCCAGGCCCGCGACGCAACAACGAGGACTAGCCACGACGATATGTGGAGGCCGCGTGAACACCCCGAGCACCACGGTCAAGAAGCGAATTAACCCGATGTTGCGCCGCTTTGTACCCCACCATGGAGCCAAAACCGACGAGTTGAAGCCGCAGCTGCACCGGAGAAGCGCAAGCGTTGGCTCGAGCCCTAAGCTCGAGGAAGCCATGCTTGAGCCTCTGGCCTGAGGGAGGAAAGTGAGGACATTGGCGGATATATCTCTGGCTTGGCTCAAGGTTGGTGAAAAAACTATGAGAGGTGGAGTGTGGTACCGACGATCACGATGACGACGAAATCAACGGCGGAAGAGACGAGGAGGATGATGACAATGGAGACGGCGACGATGACGGCGGCGGCGGCCACGATAACGACGACGACGACGGCGGGTCCGTTCATCAACGGAGTTGCTGATGCAGAGGTCTTTCCAGCGATGTTCTTTGGGGGGCAAGGGGGGGGGTGTATGTTGAGGAAGCAAAAGGCGATTTCAGGGGGCATGGCACCAGGTTGCGGAGAATAAGCAGGATGGCGAGGAGGACGACAGGGCGGGGCCTGTTGCTGTTGATCGTCATCCGCCGCCTTCTGCCGCCGCTTCTGCCGCTCCACCTGCTGATCCCGTCGCTCGTCGTGCTGGTTTCTCTCGTGCTCATCCTGCCACTTCTCCTGACCAGGGGCAGCCGCTGGAGATGGCAAAATGGTGCTGGTACGGCATGGAGTGCACCAAGCCAAACTGCTGGTTCCTCCACCCGGAGGGCTACGACTTCAAGGAGTTCGGGGTGTGTGGTTGAAGACGGTGTTGGCTGGTTGCGACGACCTTGAGTCTTTCAGTGATGTGGAAAAACGGCCATACCAGGAGTTGGTTAGTTGAGTTGCATTGGCAGCCGATATGTGACATCGTCATGCGAAGATTTGCTCTGCATGCCTTGGGAAATGTTTGTGCAGTTGCTTGTGCTCGCCTAGGCAACGTTCTGGGGTGTCCGTGATCCTCCTATTTGGGATCTGGGGAGAGGGGTTGGTAACGTAGGGCACGACGTTCCTCCCCCTTCCTTCTCCTGACTGTATATTGCACCTTCAGTGTAGGACGTGTGCCGGGACGGGTGCATGGGATGGTTTGTTGCAAACTATGAGTGCCATTCTCATTCCGCAACCAGTCGGGTCAGCACGCCGTACGTTGGTCCGTGCAAATCTGCCTCGTGGTCTTTCGTTCAAGGACGTTCTGCCATCCGCGCGGTGACCAGTTCTGGTTACAGTGCGTTTTCTTTTTTTTGTTTTTTATCGAAGGCGAACAAATACGCCTATCCGAATAATCTTACCTCAAGGAATTTTGTCTCCTGCCGTTGAAACTGTCCTCGGCGGCCCACACCCTATCTTATTGCTTTGGGATGCGGTCCTGATGGCACCATAGGCTATGGCTACGCATCGGTATGAGAGGTCACTGACATCGACGACCAAACAATGAGAGTCCATGGTCCAGGGGGAACCCGTCGGAATCACTACGATAGGGACCTGTCATTATGCAGAGGAGTCGCAGGAATCCACAATAATCATTGGAACACATATGAATTGGGAATATGAAGGATTCTACAGGAGTCCACAAGGATTCATGTGAACTCCTGGGGCCCATAGATCTCCCTAGGGTGTTCCTGGATTCCATGGACGTCCAGAGGAATGCAACATAGTTTCGGAGGCAATCTGACTCCATTCGGGTTTGTACGATGAACCCGGCGCGACCCCAATCCAGGGAACGTTTTTTCATTAAATGACCAAGCAAGGAATGCATTGCATTGTATTGTTTTGCATTGATCGGCAGTGGTTTGCATAGCTTTGCGTTGCATTGCTTGGCGTTGCTTGACATTGATTTGCGCTGATTCGCATTGCTTCGCATTGCGTTGCATTGCCTTACATGTCCTTCCTTTGTTGCATTGCATTGCTTTGCGTTGCGTTGCGTTACATCGGTTTGCATTGCATTGTATTCATGTTCATTGCTTCGTGCTGCGTTGCATTGATTTGTTTTGCGTTGCTTGGCATTGATCTGCTTTGCTTGGAATTGATTGGCATTGTCTGGCATGGCATTGCCTGACATTGCCAAGGATTTCTTTGCAGTATTTGATGTTAATTTGCAATGATCTGCATCGCTTTGTTTTTCTTCGCATTTGTTTCGTTATCTGTTGCATTGCATGGCATTGCTTGGTATTTCCCGGCGCTGCTTCGCATTGCTTGGTATTGCTTGGCATTGCTCGACCTTGCTTAACATTGCTTGGCATTGTTTGGCATTGCTTGGCATTGTTGGGCGTTGCTTGGCGTTGCTTGTTATTGCGTGGCGCTGCTATGCATTGCTTGGCATTGTTTGGTATAGCTTGGCAGTGCTAGGCATTGCTCTGTGTTGCTTTGGTGTTGATTTGCGTTGCCTTTCTTGGCATTGCGTTGTTCTACATTGCATTGCATTGCTTGGCATTGCAATGCATTGCTTGACATTACTGGCTACTTAAGTGGTTCATGCCATTCCGCCGACCCCCCAGGAGGAGCGAGTGCTTGTGACGATCTTGGAAGTTCCTTGGGGGGTCAGGAGCCTCTTAGATGCATTTGAGGGGCTCCTGGGATGCCTCTCAGGGGCCTTGGGCTCTTGGGGGCATCTGGGGGGCCTTTGGGGCCTTCTTGGGGTCCTCCTGGAGGCTTCTTGGCCCTCATGAGGCCTCTTGTGGGCGCCTCGGGGGCGTCGGGGAGGCTCTTAAGGTCATCTTGGGAAGAAAGGATCGGAATGTCAGTTTGTATCCCCCTTCTTGGGTCTCTCTTAGGGCATTCTTGGGGCTCTCTTGAGCCGTCTGGAGGGCCCCTGCGGCCGTCTTGGGGCCGTCTTGGGCCGTCGTGGGGCTTTCTTGAGGGCCTCATTGGCCGTCTTGGGACGATCTTGGGAACCCCTTTGGCCGTCTTTGACGGTGCCGAGACGAAGAAGGCGAGTGTGCTAATTTTGCACGTTTTCCTTACACAAGGGTGCGATTTTCGCTTCTGGGGGCCCTCTCGGCGATCCTCTTGGAGCATTCTTGGGCCGTGTTGGGCGCCTCGTGGGCCGTCTCGAAACCATTTAGGGTCGTCGTGGGGCTACCTTGGGCGATCTTCACGCTTCCTTAGGCTGCTTTGGCGCTTTGTTTTGGACCTCATGCGCCGTCTTCGGGTTCTGGAGAGGCTCCAGAGGCCCCGGGGATGCGTTTCGGAGCTCGTCGCCCCTCGTCTCAAACGAAACGGCATGTTGCGCCACTGGGGAGGGGAAAGGTGGAGAGGGATTGGCAACTATCTCACACGCCTTTTCACCCCGGCAAGCAGGGGTCGGCGGATTGCCTGGCATTGCCTGGCACTGCTTTGCGTTGCATTGTTTTGCATTACTTTGCATTGCTTTGCATTGCTTTAGATTGCGTTGTATTGCGTTGCATTTTTTGCGTTGTTTGGCATTAATTTGCTTCGGTTGGCGTTGAGTATTGCTTGCATTGCGTTGCTGGGCAACCAGGCAATCGGGCAACCCGGGCAACCGGGCAACTGGGCATCGGCCATCCGGGCCATCCCGGCAATCCTGGCAACCTGGCAACGCGGCAACCGGGCATCCAGACACTGGCCATGCAGGCAGCTGGGCAGCGGGGCAAGTGGGGAACAGGGCAACAAGGCAATCACTGGGCAATCCGAACACGGCCGGGTAAACGGAGAAAGGCCGCCTGGGCAACCCGGGCAAACAGGGCAACCGGGTACCCAATTGGGCAACCCGCCAGCCAGGCAGTTGGGCAATTGGGCAACTCGGGCAGCCCAGGCAACTTGGGCAACCCGGGCAAGTTGGGCAACCCGAGGATGGCCGGGCAACCCGAGGCCCGAGGAAGGCCGGACAGCCAGGCCTTTCGAGGAAGGCCGGGCAGCTGGGCAACCCCGAGAACAGGGTTCAGGCCTGGCACCCACCGTTCAAGAGCCTTTTAGGCAAGCCTAAGCGGGGAACAGCATCAAGGAAGCAGGACCAAGCAACCCGAGGAAGGTCTCTGTAAGAGCAGTGGAGAAACAAGACGAAGGAACCCCGAGGAATGCCGATGTGAGGAAACGTGGCCAAGGAACCCCGAGGAACGCTGGCTGGCGCAGGCCTCGCACCCACCAGTTCTTCAAGAATAAGTAAGGGGACCCTTTGCCAAAGACTGATGGGGTAAAATCAAGTGAATCCATTGAAGCCCACTGCCAAGAGAGTTCGTCGGAATTCGCAGGAGCCTATCGGAATCCGAAGGAAGCTGTATGAAGCCGTTGGAGCCTACAGGAGTCCACAAGACGCAGTAGGACTTCGCAGGGATCCATAGAAATCCGTTGGAAGAAATGGTTGCGCCTTGTTCAACGTGGAACATGACTCTAGACCATGTCTGGCTGATATCGCATTGCGTTAGTACCGCGACTCAGTCATGTAAGAACTCTTGCATGTGTTAGTATGCTTAACTTGTGGCCGAAGGACATTTCTTTGCAGGCCCAGAGGTATGCCAGGAACGTTGATCCCAGGGGAGGGGAGGGGGAGGGAGACGGAGGGGGAAGGCGGGGAGGCGGAGGAGATGGGGAGAGGTCTAGGGCAGTGGAGAGGCAGGAGAAAAGTGGAGGGGGAGGGGGCCATCGCTCAGCACCTTCAAGAGGCGGCTAAGCTCTTGCGCTACGCCGATGGGGTAGTCAAGAACATGACTGCCACTGCTCGCAGCCTCCACCGCGGACATGAAGAGCCTTGCCGAGGTCGGAGGAAGCCAGCTGTCCACATACACTGGTACTGGCCTGGCCAGAATCGGTGCGCGGTAGATTCGTGATTTCCAGGCACAGCGGCAGCGGGTAGCGTTGGCGTTCAAGATTGAATTGTGCCGGCAGCCTTCAGGAACTTTGGAAAGCGGGTATCTCTCAAGGATGGACGGCCCATGCGGTGGCAGAAACCAGCACCCAGGCCGCCGTCCTGCAGATCCCACCGATCTTGGGCCAGCCAGGGTCGTTGCAGGTGGACCGTCGGCGTCCTCCTGCAAGGCGAGCCCAGAGATAGCCTCAGCTGCCCAGCAGGCTCAGGGGCGGCCTAAACCACCCGCCGGTAAACCGACCCCTCCTGCTCAGCCCCGAGGCACCCGTCAGCCTGGATCAGCCACGCGCAGAAGGGGGGTTGGGGCGAGAGGGGAGGACTTTTTAGAAGCACTCCCGCTTCTTAGAAGGCGTGGGCTTTATTTATAGACTTAAGGCTGGTGCCTTCTAAGAATCAGCCTCCTTCTAAGAAGACTTCCCCCCTTCCTCCACCTCCGCCCCCTGGAACGCGCCGCCAACCTGCTCAGCGCCGACGCACCCGTCAGCCTGGAGGAAGGCCAGCGGGTCGGAGGGGGGGCGGCTCGGTCGCGCCCGAGGCGGCGATTTCGGCTGGCGCCCGGCTGGATTTCCGGGCGGCCGCGCGGGCCGCCCGCTTGCCCACGAGTCTGGCCTGGAGGGCGCCAAGAGCAAGGGCAATGGCAAGGGCAAGGGCAAGGGCAAGAAGGGTAAGAGGGAAACAAGCAATGACATAAGCATAAGAACTCGGAGGTCCGCGCGGATTCCTCGGATCGGCGCTGGGGCCCCCTGGCGGCGCTCCCAGCGCCGCCACTGGCGCGCTCCGCGCGCTGGGGGAGGGGGGTCCATCGCCGATCCGAGGAGAACGCGCGGACCTCGGAATTTTTTAACATTCATGCCATTGTGTGTTTCTCGAGGCAAGACCAAGGGCAAGGGCAGGGGCAGAGGGCGCGGTGCGCCAGGAACTCGCGCCGCGCCCCCCGCGGGGAGGAGGGAGGAGGCCGAGGGGGAGGAGGAGGAGGAGGAGGAGGGCCGGAGCAGACCAGAGGTGCATATAAGCGACGTTGCAATACTCGAAGAAATGAAAACACGGATAAAGGCAGCGTGGATTAGCCACGGGTCTTGTTACCATGCGAAATTGTTGCAAAGAAAGAGTCATTGGCCTCACGTTTCGGTGGTACCTTCCCCGATCAGTGGATTTGGCGCCCACGCGCCAGATCCACGGACGCCAAATCCATTTTGGCGAGCGTCCGAAATACACCCTCCCATCGCAAGTCCACTTCCTCACACGCCCCTGCAATGCCTCCTTCTCACTACATGAAGCGCTCCCCTTGAAAGACCAGCGCAGTTGGGCCTGCCATGTCGGCGAGGGCACCACCTAGAACAGAAAGTAGCTTGCATCTTTCTGGCGCGTAGCCACTGACGCGAACACCAGTTATCATACAGTTCGATGTGTAATTGTTGGGCAAATTTGCCATTGTGGTCATAAACTCCGAGGAACTCTCAAGCGACAGCTGTCTTGAAGAAGAGCCGCCATGGATCCGTGCAGCGCTACGTGCGTCGAAGGTTCTGGCCCCTCGACTTATAACGAAATCCCAGGCGAGAAATCCATGTCGAAGAAGAGCAGTCCTTCATCCTGCGAAACGTTACGTGAAAAGATAAGTGTTCGCGGCGTTAAGGCGAGAACCACCTTTTGAAGAGCCGTTGGTCTCCATCCATCTCTGAAAGTAGTGCAAATGTTTAAGACGAATGTGCGCGACGTTGATGCGAAAGCCACATCTTGAAAACCACCCCCCAAATCCGTCCGAAAAACGGTCGCAAACATTTGAGACCCACGTACGCAGCACTACGGCGAACATCACATTTTGAAAACGACACCCCAAATCTATCCGCGAAACGGTTGCAATTTTTGCGACGAATGCGCGTGACGCGAAGGCGAGGGCGACATCTTGAAAAGGATCCCGATCCATCCGTGAAGCTGTTGCAAACGTTCAAGAAGAAATGCGCGACGCTGAGGCGAGAGTCACATTTTGAACACCACACCCCAAATGTATGCTTCAAACGGCTGCGAACATTTGAAACAAATGTGCGCGGCGCTACTGCGAAAACGACATGTTGAGAACGCTCTCCTCTATCCTTGAAGCTACTGCAATCTTGTAAAGCGAATGTGCGCAGCGCTTGGGCGAGAGCCATATTTTGAAAAGGACTCCCTCCTCTATCCGTGAAGCTGTTGTACACTCATATTGCGAATGTGCGCGACGCTGAGGCTGACACCACATTCTGAAAATGATTCTCCCGATCCGTGAAAAACGGCTGCAAACTTTTACGACGAAGATGCGCAACGCTGAGCCGAGAGCCTCAATTTGAAAACGACATCCCCAATGTATCCGCGCGCGGCGCGAAGGCGAGAGCCACATTTTGAAAACCACACCCCAAAGTCATCCGTGAAGCTGTTACGACAGTGTATGACGAATGTGCGCGGCGCTAAAGAGGGAGCAGCATGTTTAAAACCACACTCCTTCCATCCGTGAAGCGGTTGCACACTTTAAGGACGAATGCGCTCGGCGCGAAGGCGAGAGCCACATTTTGACCCCCCCCGTTCCTCTATCCACGCAGCGGTTGCACACTTTTAAGGCGAATGCGCGCGGCGCTAAGGCGAGAGCCATATTTAAGAGAAGGAGCCGGCCTCCATCCGTAAATATGTTGCCAGTTTCAAGTTCCAGGATACGAGTAGCAGCCGCTCTTCGGTTGATCGGGAGTTTCTGTATGCATAAGAATGGGCGCGTGCGGCAGGCGGTGGTGCGGCGGGTGAGGACGAGGATGATGAAGATCAGCAGTGCGAGGCTCGCGAGGGGGAGGATCAGGAGATTGAGAGTCACGCGGCTCAGGAGCAGGCGAGCGTGGAGCAGGAGCGTGAGTATGTGGAGAAGAAGGGCCAGGAGAGCGAAGATCAGGAGAATGAAGATCAACAAGGGGTAAGGATCGGGCGAGTTCGGAGCAGAAGAGAGAGGATCAGCAGAGTGAGGATCGGCATATTCAGCATCACGAGGAGAGCGATGATCAGGATTATGAAAATGAGCATGGGGAGGGTGAGGATCAGTATCGTGAGGCAGGAGGGTGAGGGTGAGGAGAGCGATAATCAGGAGAGCGAGGATCATGAGTGTGAGGATCATAAGGGCGAGGGCCATGAGGGGAGCCATCAAGAGGGTGAGGATCAGCATTGCGAGTAGCTACCTTATCACTCCTCCTCCTCCTCCTCCTCCTGCTCCCTATGCCCCTGCCCCTGGCCTCCTTCGCCTCCTCCTCCCCCTCCTGCCTCCTGCTCCTGCCTCCTGCTTTTGCCTCCTCCTCGTCCTCCTCCTCCTCCTCCTCCTCCTCTTCCTCCTCCTCCTCCTCCTCCTCCTCCTCCTCTTCTTATCTTCTTCCTCCACCAACTGCTGGGGGCCTCCGTCGGCGACCGATCCGGCGATCTTGCGAGGCTGTCTCGAGCGAGAGCCCCAGCTTGGGACGCGCCCGGTGCGCCCAGTGCGCCTGGTGCGCTCCCCGGACATGGTCCCTGGGGGCGCGGCGGGGCCTGACTTTCTCACGCGCCAGGGGGTCGACTTTGCGAGGATGTCTCGAGCGAGAGCACTGGACTGGGGCACGCTTGGCGCGCACGGTGCGCCCCGTGCGCTCCCCGGAAATGGTCCCTGGAGACGCGGTGGGGCCTGCTTTCTCACGCGCCAGGGGTTAGGATGGCGGCAGCACAGAAAATACCGGGAATTAAACAGTGAAGACGTATCAGGCGAGGCTCAGGGATGCGACAGGGAGGAGCTGTTTACAAGAAAAATGGATGAGAGAGGAGAAGGAGGAGGAGGAGCATGAGCCGGAGGCCTTGATGGGCGCACCCCCCTGTCGTGTTGTCCATGGGACCTCCGGCCGATACGCCTGGCCCAGACCCAGAACGGGTCTGGTGCCAGGGCCGCGGATTCAGTGCAGGAGGAGGGGGAGGGGGAGGGGGAGGGGGAGGAGGAGGAGGAGGAGGAGGAGGAGGAGGAGGAGGGAGGGAGGAGGAGGAGGAGGAGGAGGAGGAGGAGGAGGAGAGGAGGAGAGAGGAGGAGGAGGAGGAGGAGGAGGAGGGCGGAGGAGGAGGAGGGTGGAGGAGGGCGGAGGAGGAGGGGGAGGGGGGAGAAGGAGGAGGAGGGCGGAGGTGAGATGAGATGAGCAAGCGGCCTAAAGCCAGGGCTGTCGAGCTACCGCTCGGTGTCGGAGGCCTCCGTATCTTGGGAGACCTCCTCGAAAACCCCGTCCAGGGGCTCTTCGGGCCCCTCCTCGGCCTCCTTGCACAGACGGCGGAGCCCCTCAGCGCGGATGGCTGGCAGGTCCCCCTCCAGGAGGCCGAAGGCCCTCAGCACCTCGGCTCGGGACGTCGTCCCCCCCAAGGCACTCGCCCCCCGCAGCCCACCTCCCCCCAAGTCCAGAGCCGAGGCGCCAGGGGCAGGATCTACAGGGCCAAAAACCGAGGCCAGCTTCACACGGACAGCGAGCGGCATTCCCTTGGGGGGGTTCAAGGACAGGTCCTTCAGCCCTGCCTTGCCAGACGGGTACTTACTCTCCTTAATCTGCGCAAGCTGCCACCTCAAGCCCGAAGCCGCACTCTCTCGGAGGCACGGCCTGAGGAGGGCTCGAGTCGGCCGCTCCACGCTGAAAAAGGCACCGCAAGCACAACAAAAGTTTATGGCCTTGCCATCTTCATGGCCCGACCTCGCATTGATCGTCGCGTGCAGCATCGGGTGGCCATTGAAAGAGAAACCCATGTCTCGATAGGCCTCGAAACCCTCGGCTGGCAACTGCGACACGGGCTCGCACGCTGGAGCGGCAGCGGGGGCGGGAGCAGGCACGCCCTCGGGCCGCGCCTCTGTCGATGCTTGCGCCCGTCCTCTGCCTGCCGCATACAGCTCCATGAGGTCATCATGGTCCTGGCAGGCCTCACCGTCCCCAACCAACGCGTGCAAACGCCCACTCCACCGACCCACCTCACGAGCGGCCTCAACAAGGCCACGCCAGAGGTGGTACTCGCTCTCCTCCACTCCATGGAGGGCGGCACCACGCTTCGCAAATTCATCGGCGGCATCGTTGCCCCGCTTCTCCCAAAGGGTGGTGCGATCGTTCTGCACATCTACTATGCTGCAATGGGCCTTCGTCTTGTGGGCAGTGAAATCGTTCGGCTCAAACGCCGCCCAGAACGGAGCCCACATATGGGCTCGGGGGTTCTCCGCTCCCGAGCCCGCTCCAGGGCCCGCCCAGAGCGTCGACACAGTGCCTTTACAATCTATATAGAGGTCTACGGGCGGCAACGCAACAAGGGCCAGTATTCGGACTGCAAAGTCCTCGGCCTCCCTCGAAGACTGGAAGGGGGCCTGGTCCTGCGGGACAGGCCCAAACGCCGCTGACAAAACCTGGCCAAACCTGCCACAGCTGACCACAGACCAACCAGCCCTGGAAAGCGTCCTGGAGCTCGGGAACAGCGCGGACCCGTCCAGGA